CAGCAACATGAAACAGATCAGCAGCAACATGAAACAGATCAGCAGCAACATGAAACAGATCAGCAGCAACATGAAACAGATCAGCAGCAACATGATGTGAGTTTTCACAGTGATTATTCTAGTTAGAGATTCATTCGAGTCTAACAGCCTCAGGGTAGAAGCTGTTCCTCAGTCTAGTGGTTCTACACTTAATGCTCCTCAACCTCCTTCCTGAGGGTAGCGGGGCAAAAAGTGTGTGTGCTGGGTGAGTGCGGTCCTTCGTGATGCAAGTGGTCCTCTTCCTGTATCTGGAGGCGTAAATGTCTGATGGTGGGGAGGCTGACACCAATAGCTGACTCCGATGTTAAACTTTATCTCAGTACCTGTGATTTAATTAGGATTCTAATCGTGAGATTTGAATATTCGATAGTTACGACAATTTTAAAATCAAAGTCATAAGTTTATAAAGTATCTGCTGCTCAATGTGAAGTGGTTTTCAACACATTCACGTGTGATTTAAAAAAATATATAAAAAATCAAGTTCAAGGTTGTTTATTGTCATTAAAATCACATGTGGTACATGAGGTGGAAGGAAATTGTGTACAAGGTCCCAGTTACATCCAGCAATAATAAAAATATAAATTGTAAAAGAAACAGTACTAAGGATCTAAGATATACACTAAGACATACGCTAATAGTGCAAAACAATACGCCGAACAACGGCAGCACCATTATCTTATCTGCATTTAAAATAAAATACATAGAAATAATAAATGTTATATTAAACTCGCTGTACTTGAACTATGAATCAAATGTTCTGTATTTAACTAATTATCTTTAATCTAGATGTGCAACATTAAAAGTTGTATTTTAATTTAAATTATTGGGCTAAATGTTTGATTTTCAACTACAGCAGAGGAATGAAGAGTGTTTACATCCAGTTTATTTTTTATTACTGACTCCAGAACACTCCAGGAAGTTTTATTTTGTTGTTGGAAACGGTCAGGGTCTTCCTGTGTCTTGATATGGTCAAGGCATGCAGTCAGTCAGAGTGTTAACACGTCCGGTGGCGTTAACACCCGATGATTATCGCATCAGTCGGCTTGTTGAGAGGCACCAACAGACCCACTAGAACAGGAACATTTTAACACCCCGAAGGTAATTCACAGAGCACTGCAGGAAAATAGCTCAACTGTACAAATACATTAAAATAAACGTGCAATCAAGATGACATTTGTGGACACAGGTTGTTTGTCTGATCCAAGCTGACTGGTTATTTTCAGCTAAAGTGTGATTCTTTGTATGGTGACAATATCGTGTGAATGTTTATGAAGCAGTCACTCTATTGTGATCCATGTTTCTTACCGTGTATTTCAGCATCTTTCTCGTTACACAATTGTTGTGCCATTTCAACAAATCATATCAAAATGTTCAGCTTGTTCAGGACAATCGTGCTATGACTTTTGGTATTGGTGCAACTTTAGCTTTTTGAAATATTTAGCCTTTTCGACATTTTTTCCTCACAGAAAATGAATTGAGTTCATTTTCCTTCCTTTAAATCTTTAGATGTGTTTACAACCTTTTACTGCTCCTTTCACTTTTTGTTCTGCTTCAGCTTCTTTCAGCTTCCTTGTGCAAATTTTAACTTTTTTCCGCTACTTTCAGCTAATTTCAGCTGGGTTTTTTGCAGTTGTTTTGTGATCCTTTTCTTCAAATAACTTTAATAACTTTCATTCTTTCTGCTAGCAAACATTATTGTGCTTCTTCTACCTTCTTTCTGCTAATTTCAGCTCGTCATGTTTCCTTCAGCTTATTTATGCAAGTTTCAGCTTTTCTGCTATTTCAGCTAATATTTAGTAGTTTTATGATCATTTTAGCTGTTTCAGCTAATTCCACATTTTTTGCACTCGTTTCAACTTTTTTCCAGCCTATTTCAGCAAAAATGTGCTCTTTACTGGTACTTCGTTCTGGTAACTTAAGCTTCTTTTAGCTGAAAAGTAGCAAATAAGCGGGTGGGGGGTGTTGGTAATTTCAGCATTTTCAGATAATTTCTACTTTTTTGTGTTAATTTCTGCTTCTTTCAGCCTAATTAACTTCTTTCTACTAATTTCAGCTTGTTATGCTCCTTTCAGCTTTATTCAGCTAGTTTCAGTTATTTCAGCTAGTTTAGTTGTGTTATGTTATTAGCCTTTTCAGCTAATTCCACATTCTTTTTTTAGCTCATTTCAGATCTTTCCATTCCTTTCTGGTAGTTTAAGCTTCTTTCAGCCTTTTCAGCTTTTTTTTGTTGTTGTTGTTGTTGCTAATTTCAGCTTTATTTAAGCTAATTTCATAATTTATGTGCTCATTTCTGCTTATTTAAACCAAATTCAGCAAATGTTCTTTCTGCCTTCTTCTGCTAATTTAGGCTTGTTTTTCATTTTCAGGTAAAATTCAGCATGTTTTTAAGCTAATTTCAGCTGTTTTCCAGCTAGTTCTTCAGCAATAAGCACTGCATTTTCTCTAGTTATTATTGAAACAACATTTTAAACCATCTCATAACACTAACAAAATCCAGGCAGAGAGCATTTTAGACGTTAATGAACTGCCGGGATGTGTTCTCGTTTCTTCAGACGTTGCTCCGTTCCTCTGAAGTCCACCCACAGACACTCTGGACTCACACTTACTGCAGCTTGTTACAAAGCTTGCAGGCAGTGAGGTGTAAATACTCCCAGTCTAATCTTAAAGCAGCAGATGGACAACGAGCTGCAGAAAACCCAAAAGATCTTTACCCAGGTTCAAGTTTAGCTAAGAATGCTAAACAATGTAGCTGACTAGAAGATTTCCAGAGATGCACTCGTTGCAGTTTTCTGGACCAATTTTGATTTCCAGTTTCCTGATGGAAGTTCTGAATGCCCGATTTAACCTTTGCCTGATTCCGATTATTAACTTTTGTAAATATTTGAACAGCTGGTTTCCATTTTATCCAATTCTGATATCCGCAGTTTACATAACTGATTTCATTTTTATCCAATTCCAATATCTGAATTTTTCGTACTTGATTTTGTTCGACTCCAATTCCTGAGAAGCTCTGAACTGATCCTTTTAATTCATATTTCTTTCTTCCTTTAACTTCCTTTAACTCACACTTAGAAAAAGAAATAGGTAGTTAAAATCTGAACTGTGCATTACATTTAATTTCACTTAATGTTCAAGTCAAATGTGTATTTGTTTCCTCTATAACTTTTTTCAAAATGTGACAAATATTCATTTAGCTCCAACTGGAAACCTACACATAATATGCCTCAGGTTATCTGACATTTTTGTTCAAATAAATGCAAACTGAACTATTTTTCTTACAATACACTGAAAGTACTATTATAAACCAGTAGGGGGTGCAAGTGTACAAATTTAAGCTCAACGATGCTTTACATTTTTACCCAGTGTTTCTCCTACTGTTGTCCAAGGAGGGCACGCCACCCTCTCAATAAAACTGAGCGCCCTGCGTACCGAATTATCCTTCACCCTCAAACCCCCACCAGTGCCAGCAGTCGACAACTGCTGGCACTGATGTAGCGCTAAGTTAGCTGCACGCAATACAGATACGCTAGCTAAGAAGCTACAGACATAGCGCCACCCCCCCATTCGATAACTGCTGGCAGTAACATTGCGCTACTGTCCTCCTCCAATCCTCCCCCCGACAGAAATCCCCGAAGACATGAGCGCCCTGCCAAGGCAACTGACCTTGGGGAAACACTGTTACCTATAATCTCTGCCGAAGGAGTTTATGTAATTATATGACAAAGTTTAGTATATTTAACAATAATCCATCGGGCAAAGAAAGGGGGAGATTCTTCCACATCAATTCCTCTGAAACCCAGAACGACAACAAAATCAGCACCGCTTGTTCTTCCAAACATAAATCTATATTTTAATCACAATAAAAACAACAACCAGGGAGAAAGGTAGCCTCTGAAGCAACGTGAATTAGCTGCAGTGCCATAAAACTGTATTTTATTTGAGTCACATTTGAATACCATGTTCTGACGTGACATTTTCTGCCTGATAGGGCACAGCTGGGGGGGGGGGGGGGGGGGGTCTTCCACTCATTCCTTCACCATCGCTCACAAACAGGATTAATTTGGTGTACTCCCGTTGAGCGGTTTAATGAGATATTTTTCTAAGGTATTTGTTATTTTAGCTGTTTTTTGCTTGCGAGGATACCAGCCAAGCCTACTAAAAAGAATCTGTGTGACATTTTCTCTCCATTTATCCAGTCTAAAGATTAAATACACCTTCACCGCATGACTCAGAGTAAGCTCGTTGTTTATTAGTTATTATTTAACAGCACAGCAGCATCTTCCATTTGTTTCCTAATGGATCTAAAAGCGTTATAGTACTTCCTGCTGAAAGAAGAGGTTTTCACTGCAGGCAACCCATTAAAAAAAAAAAAAAAAACACACTAAAGCATCATCAGCTGCATAAAGCACAAGATAAACGTCCCTCAGGAAGAAAAGGGCCAGTGAGGAGCAAAGCCCACTCACTTCCACACGGTATCGTCCTCTCAGCCAGGCTGTGACCTTAACACCACTGATGGAACAATAAATCATGGGAACCGCTTGGTGCTATCTTAACCCTGCAGGTCCTAATAACACGAGTTAGACTGCTGGGACGATGGTGTCAGAGCCGGGGCCTTCAGAAAGACTGGCTCTTCCATCTGCAGCGTTCATCACTGTCTAATATTTAAACATTATGTAACAATGGTGAGGCTGAAACACCAACAAGTAAATGTTTGTCACAGCATACATGTGTAAAATTAGAATATCAAGAAAAAGGTCAATCTTTTTGTCAATCATTTCAGAAAGTGAAACTCGTATAAATTCATTACATAGAGTGAAATATTTAACCAACCACTAGGGAGTACAAGTGTACAAGCGTACGTATATACACAGTATATACTAATATTTTATATGCGAGTACAAGCCAATGTATCTCTTGTGCCGGTCCCAAGCCTGAGTAAATGGTGAGGGTTGTGTCAGGAAAAGCATCCAACATAAAACACTTTTTTTTTGCAAAAACTTTAATGAGAGTTCATCAAAGCGAAACCATACCAGATCAGTCAAGGCCCAGGTTAACAACGACCGCCACCGGTACTGTTGACAAACAGGGTGCCGGCGGAAATTGTGCTACTGTTAGTTGAAGACCACGAGGAGGGAAGCATGTCAGGAGACAGAGGGAGAAGATTGAAGTGAAGAATGTAGGACTGAGAGTTGCAATTCTAAATGTGGGGACAATGGCAAAGGTAGAGAGCTGGATAACATGATGCAGAGAAGGAAGGTAGATGTTTCATGAGTCCAAGAGACCAAGAGGAAGGGCAGCAAGGCTTGCAGCATTGGAGAAGGTTCAAACTGTTTTATCATGGTGTGGATAGAAAAAGAAATGGAGTAGGAGCGGTCCTGAAGGAGGAATTGGCAAAGAATGTAGTAGAGGTGAAAAGAGTGTCAGATAGGGTGATGTGCCTGAAGGTAGAAGTAGAAGGTCTTATGCTAAACATCGTCAGTGGTTATGCTCCACAGGTTGGATGTGATGTGGATGAGAAAGAGAAATGTTGGAAGGATGTGGAAGAAGTGATAGAGAGTATTTTCAGAGAAGAGAGTGGTGATCGGAGCAGACCTGAATGGACATGTTGGTGAAGGAAACAGAGGGGATGAGGAAGTGATGGGTAGGTTTGGTGTCACGGAAAGAAACCAGGAAGGACAGATGGTGGTAGATTTTGTCAAGAAAAAGGAAATGGCTGTAGTCAACACTTATTTCCAAAAGAGGGAGGAACATAGAGTGACCTATAAAAGTGGAGGAAGGCGTGCACAGGTTGACTACATTCTATGTAGAAAAGGAAACCTGAGAGAGATTGGGGACTGTAAAGTTGTAGCAGGGGAGAGCGTGGCCAGACAGCATCGGATGGTTGTGTGTAGAATGACTGTTGTGAAGAAGAGAAAAAGAGTAAAATCAGAGAAGAAGAGCAAATGGTGGAAGATGAAGGAGGAAAAATGTTATAAGAAATTCAGAGAGGAGCTGTTAAAGGCTCTGGGTGGTAAGAAAGAGCTTCCAAATGACTGGGCTACTACAGCAACAGTACTTGGAGAGACAGGTAGGAAGGTACTTGGTGTGTCATCTGGACAAAGGAGAAACGGTGGGTATATTGGTAGAAGAAGGTTAGAAATGCAGCTGCCAGGAAAAAGACAAAGGTAAGATATATAGATGCAGTTAGAGAGGACATGGAGGTAGTTGGAGTGAAGACAAAGGATGCAGCGGACAGAGTGAGATGGAGGAGGATGACTCGATGTAGCGACCCCTGAAGAGGGAAAAGCCAAAAGAAGAATGAGCAAGGAAAAAAGAAGATGCCTTTTTAAGTATTTGACCTTTTTCTTTAATCTTTGTTTCTGGTATGAAATACATTCATCATTTCTTTATCAGCACGTTTACTGCAAAGATTAGAAAAGTCGTGTTTTATTTAAATTTTTTATTTCACACTATAAAGGTTTTGGACTAGATGTTGTGTTTTATTATACCTCATATTATTATAGGGTAGTGTTTTTATTATTATTATTATTATTATTACAGGCTTCAACAATTGTGTTTTTTACCATTTAAGGTTTATTTTCAGACTTTATTTTTGCCCTGCTAACATTTAATTAAGAACTGATCGTGAAACAGTCTTTAGGTAGACGTTTTGGAGTTGTGTTCGCATAATTGCACTGTACCTGCCAATTAAAATAAATGAACACCCAAAAATAATAACAGTATTAATACTTACGAGTAGAAAACGCAGAGTACAACACATCAGCTCTCAAATCATCACTTCCCCTCAGAGTAAACTGATCCCTGAAATAGATAACAAATGCAACATTCATTTAAAGTGGAATGCCACCATTTTTGTTTGTCTATAATTAACCATAAAAGAAATGGGAGTATCAGTATTTAGAGCAGAAAGTGGAGAAAATAAACCTCCAGGTGTTATTACAAATATATATTTCTATCAACTACCTACACAGGCATAAATTTAAGTAAGAAGCAAACGTAAATAAAACAAACATTCAATTTTAATTTGGTTTTATGTACTTTTTCTTTTATCTATATAAAAAAAAAAATTGTTTGGGAGTCTGCTGCATAGACGGTGCAGTAAATATCTTTGGAAAAAATTAACAAAATTAGCTAATTTTATACATTTTTAGTTTTCTTTAGGCCTTCAGCCGCTCAGAAATTCTCCCAATTGTACATTTAAAAGAGTGAGGAACTGCAGTGGTACTTTTAAAACATACTGTCGATAGACAGACTGTTTGTGGTTTGGGGAGTCAGCGATATGCTGCTCTCTGCTGAGTGCAGGAGCTGTCAGCTAGCTGGGATCATTATCTCCAAACAAGACCTGTACAATAAAGCCAACGAATGACAGCCCAGCGTAATAAGACTTGGGGATCTGCCTCGTGTGCATTTATGTTAAACAGGTTTTGGTATTCTTAGACCTGTTTGTTTGGGTTGTTGAATTATTTAAAAATAGAACCTTAGGAGTCATGTTTTTAATTTACCAGGATATGAGGGTGGTTATTGTAAGTCTGGTGTCAAATTGTGTCAATTATTTTACTCTCAGCTTTTGTTTTGAAGAACAAAGTTTGTTTCTACCTCATCGGCTGCAGCTCGGGTACGGGCCGGAGGTCTTTGGAGGAAAGGCCCTCGACAACAGGGGAGTCCAGATTTGCTGAGCCGTTGCTGAGTCTGTCGCTGCTTTCGTACCCAGACTCGGTTCTCTGGATCTTCCAGTTGTCGTTGTGTACTTTAAGAGTCGCCGAGTCCTTGGACCTGTCCTTGCCCACCGAGTTCAGCGAGCTTCGGCTGCCCCTGGTTTCCTGCTTCTGCTCGTCTTCATAGATGGTCATCAGGCTCTTGGGTTTGCGTTCGTCCCGGCCTCCCCACGTGAAATCTTGGTCACGCTCTCGTGTCGGCGACTGGCTGCTGGGCCTCCTTCGAGGGCTGTGGTGCCGTCGCTCATCTCTTACTGGGTTCCCGACATCAGTGCTGCTCAAGACGCTGTCCACATTCAACGCATCCCGCATGGGCCTCCACGGAGGATTGGACCTGCTGCGGCTGTTCGCTCCATTTCGATGCCTGGAGTCCTGGCTGCTGTCCGTGTCGTATCCGTTGGAATGGTGGTGGTCCAGTCTCCAGCCATGACGGTTGTTGTTTATCGTGGGCAACACTTGTGGGAGCCTCTGGTGGGAGCGAGATGCCTCGTGGGCGGGCCGGCTGCTAAGGTGTGGCGTTCGTTCGCTCTTGATCGGACCTTTTCCTTGGCTGCTGTACAGCCTGGTGTCTATGTGTTGCTTGAAGCCGTTCTCTGGAGGAGAGGCGGAGCGGGAGTAGGTCTTGTCCTGACCTGGATCTAAAGGAAAACGACAAAAAAAAGGAACTTTAACTGAGAATCTGCACACATTTTTAAATTCAAAATACGGTTTGAATAGGCAGCTCTTCGGTGGGGGGTACCGCAGGGGTCTATTCTCAGTCCTCTTCTATTTTCTTTAAACCTGCTCATTCATAACTCATTCATGTCTATTCATTTACACCCGATGCTGGAAAAAGAGTGGTATAAATAAATCTTGCCCTCATGGAAATCTGACCTGCACGATACCTCGGAAGCAAGGTAAAAAGCTGTGTTAAAGGACACAGCAGGTAGAGCTGACAGTGAAGGGCAAAACAACAACAGAGTTAGTGACGTTTATGTCTGCAGATGACAGGAAGGTGTAAATTACAACCACCATGAGTGATTTCTTTCTGCAGCATGTTTCACAGAGGGAGGCCAGCACATAGAAAAACATCTGAGCATGTGTACATAAATGTTTTTTTCTTCTATCAGTACTTATAGATGTGTGTTTTTGTGTACTGCACTGAGAACGTGGCCCCTATTTAAAAATCAAGTTTTAAATTGAAAATCGCAATTAAAGATTGGGTCACCTTTTTCCCCAAAGTTGATGTAATAACTTAAGAAGGCAAAAAAAAATTTCTTCAGTGCTTTATGCTTGATGAAACTTTTTTTCCTAAACAGTGATGGTATGGCCATTAATTTTACATTCTTGTAATTAGCTGCAGTTTAATCTTTAATGAAGCCATTCAAAGCAGCAATAATGCTGCCTGCCTTCTGACGGCTTCTTAGATTTGATGTTTGTTGCAAACTAAAACCTCCACACGAATGTTTAAAATCAACAATGTTTCAAAGGAAAAAATCAATCAAGGCACTTAGTAATATATGCAAGTTGTGCTGTATTTTAGAAATAACTGTCATCCTTAACTCAAATTTTAAACAAGAGTACCGCTGACGAACTATTACCGGGTATATAACAATCTATAGTGCTGGCCCAGACAAGTACAGACCTTGCTTTAACTTTGATCCTGATTTATGGCCTTGAAGTTCAGGTGATGAAATGTGTATGCGACTCTCCATCTAGTGATGACACATGTGTATCAAGTTTCATTAAATTATCTTGATCAGATCGTAAGTTATGGGTAGGACAAGAAACAGTTTACAATCAGAGACTGTACCATAATACACCCGCCTTTGGACAGGAGTATAAAAACTAATCTGACTTTGATTTAATATCTTCATATTTGGGTAAATGTATTTGTTACCAGTCATCTAGCTGACAGAGAGAGGGAAGAGGGGATAAATGCTGGATCGAACTGACGTCAGACATTAAGCCCCTTTTTGACACATTTAGCTCCCAAACTAAAAGTTATATAAGTGGCTGAGAGCAAGTGAGCAGAGGGGTGGATATTTGTATCCTTATTCCTCATTATTCCTATTGAGGGTCAGGCCTCAAATGGTTTAGATACGACCTCTCTGCCAGAACCTTTTGTGTCAACATCAAGGATTTTATTTCAACATAGGCAGCTCTTCGGTGCGGAGTACCGCAGGGGTCCATTCTCGGTTCTCTTTTATTTTCTTTATACCTGCTGCATCTAGGTGCTATTTTTCATAAACATGGCATATATTTTAATTTCTATACCGAGGACTGTCAAATTTATATCCCTCCGAAGCACACTGGTGCACGTTCTCTCCAACCTCTTATTGACTACCTGGCTGACATCAGGGACTGGATAGCTTTAAATTTTAAATGGCAAATGGACTGCATTTATATTTATATCATGCCTTTCTATCTAGTCCAGATACTCAAGGCATTTTACATTACAATCAGTGCCTTCATTTACCCATCCACACAACACTTCTATATCTATACAAAGATAATCAGGGCTTTATCACATTCAAACACGGGACAAACATAAGAGGCAATGAGGGGTTCAGTGTCTTGCCCAGGGACACTTCAGCATGTAACTGCAGGTGGAATCGAACCCCCAACTCTTGCACTGGAGGACGACTGCTCTAACCACTCAGGCACAGCTGCCCTTTCAATGAGAAGAAGACAGAAGTTATGTTGTTTCCACCTAATGGCATGATCAAGAACCACTGTATCGACCTTTCCTCTCTAGCCCCATTAGAGCCCTGTTAGAGAAACAAGTGGTCACTAATCTGGGAATGAAAATGGACCCTTCCATGAAACTAAACGGTCACGTAAATACGATTGTTAAATCCTGCTGTTTGTTGTATTTTTTTTTCAGTTGAGGCAACTGTCTAAACTGAAGTCCATAGTGTCAAAAAAAATAATCTTGAAACAGTAATACATGTTGCCGTTTTAAGTGCTTTATAAATAAAAGCGAAATGGTATGGTGTTCCTCGTATTGCTCATGTGGGGGTAAAACCTGCATCTGCAGTGTTACACAGATCCACATTCAGCAAGAAAACTCACCTCTGTGACGCGGGTCCAACCTCCGCTGACCGCTCCGATCAGCATCTCTTCTGGATGAATGCATTCCTCGCTGTTCTCCCGCTCTCTGGGCAACCTCTTTGGAGAAATCTCGGAAGCGACTCTTGGGCTCGTTGGTGACAGTTTTCACTTAACAAAGAAGATAAAAACAAATTGGATATTTGATATATTGTTACACCCTTTGAAGACACAGATTACCTGATTTTCATCATTGCTTTATCAATAAAATAATTTATTCTCAAATTATGCAGTTGTGCATTTTTTGACCGTTTTCTACCTCTAAGCACCTGACACCCTGAGCAGCTGCTGAGCACACATCGGTGCAATGATATATACAGTGGATTTTATTCTACATATCAAGGGGGAGAACGTAGGAGGGAGGTTACACGCCTGTACAGAAGCCACTGCGCCCTGTCTTTGGCAGATGCTAAGAAACTCAACAATTGGTCATGGCACGGGAAAACGAGCTCTTGCTGTGGTTTTGTTGGCTTCAACGAGAAGGACAGTGATGGGAATGTGACAAAGCAAGAACTCGTTTGGGTTTCTCGGGCTATATTTGTACTCTTTTCTTCCTCCTAAAAGCAAAAAGTCTAACATGATCTGACTTCAAAAGATGGCTTTGCTGCTCTTAACACCTGAGAGCAACAGCTGACATTTTATTCTCTTTGCTTCAAACCACATTCAAAACAAGAAAAGTGTTCAAGGACCTTACAGTCTTCACAAGATAAAAAAAAAAAAAAAAGCTGATTTTACCATTGGAAATGTTTCTGTCCCTGCTTCTATGTAAAGAACTGGCAGTCCTATGTTTCTTTTGACTTCTCTGAGTCCCTATTCTCTTCTTTATCACTAACATGGTCAAAGACTTTCATCACTTCCCCTGGTCACAATATCAGATCTATGGTAGTCGCTGTGGACAAAAATATTTATGATTTAATACATTTTTAAGTGCAGCAACTATGCAGAGTGACTCAACAGTGTTACGAAATATTTTCAGGTGTTTGAACCATCAGAAAATTCATGCTTTGTCTTTTATTCCTATGGTGGGTTTCTAATTTGCAGTAGAATCCTTCTCCTTATACTTTAGCTCCATAATTATATGGATTATTTTTGTTTTTTACCTTGTCCCCATCCGCTGCTGCTCTTGGTCAGAGTGGAAGAAGTTTTGTGTTTTTGAGGATCGTGGCCCAGCACAGCCTTCAAGTTCTCTTTGGTTAGTTCCAGCTTCTTCTGTACAAAAATGTGAGGCTCCGAGCCTGCAGAAGAGGACAAAAAAAATAAAAATAAAACAATGCTCAGGTTCTTCGGTTCATTTTTCCTTTACGAAGAAAGGCGCAACTAAACTCACTAAGCAGAATGAAACGGCAAAAGTCACCTTAAACTTTGATCAGAACTCTAATTCTAAGCTCTTCAAGCATCTTTTCTTGGTTTTTGGAGAGTCGTGTAGTTTTACCAGCAGTCCGGTCAGCTCTGATGGGACACTGAGCAGCTGCCGCCGTTTGGAGCTGGGGCTCAGCCAGCACCGAGAGCTGGAGGAGGATTTTTGCAGGGGATAAAAACCTCCCCGACCACACAAATCCAGGCATGTATAATCCTGCCAGCTGATACGTTTAGCTGCGGTCAACAAATGATCACAACTGGTTGGAAAAAGAATGAACCTATATGATTTTAAAATGTGGGTGGTATGGTGGATCAGTTGGTAGAACTGTTGCCTCTTAGCGAGAAGGTTGCCGGATCGAATCCCGGCCGGGGACCTTTCTGGGTGGAGTTTGCATGTTCTCTCTGTGCATGCGTGGGTTTTCTACTAGTACTCGTTTCATCCCACAGATCAAAAACATACATGTTAAAACTGATTGGTAACTCTAAATTGTCCCTAGGTGTGAGTGAGAGAGTGAATGGTTGTTTGTCTCATTTGTCTCCATGTGTCCCTGTGATGGACTGGAGATCTGTCCAGGGTGTACCCCACCTCTCGCACAGTGACTGCTGGACATGGACACAAGAGACCCCTGTGACCCAAAAAGGAAGAAGTGGGTAAAGATGATGGTGGATTGATTTTAAAATGTTATCGTCTTGGTTTTCCAATTACAATTTCCAGTTTTTGGCTGTGGGTCTTGTGAAATGAAGCATAAAACAAAAGTTTAAATTTAAGTATCAACTCAAGTAAACATTTAAGTAGATGTCTGTCCAATGTTCTCAGAGGGTAGGAGTAAAAAGCTAAAATAATAAACAAGACCGCACCAAAACAAACAAACAAAAAAAAAAAACACACGACTGCAATGTTATTGTTGAAAAAGGACAACACCAGCTGCAGTAAACTAAAGCTTTCAGTACATGCTTCATACCTTGTTTCCTGTTTTTGGTGTATTTTTGTGGCAGGGTTACAGCACAACATACAAGTCTGGAATAACTACTACAGCCCCTTTAGGTCATTTTCTGCTTTCCTTCCTTGAGGAAACATTTCTAGAAACAGTGTTGTGTTTGGGAAGATCTTTTATCAGTTGACACATAAAAAAAAATTGTTTTGGAAAAACTGTTTCCATGTGGACAGTGGTGGGCACAGCTAAACAAAGTTAGCTTAACTAACCCATATTTTGTTAAATAAAAAATAATCTATGCTAATGCTAAACCACTAAACGCCTAAATAAAAATTAGTGGAAGCTAACGCTTAACCTCTAAGACAACTGTCACTCTGTCGGCGTCACAAGTCTTTGTCTTCTTCCAGTTGACCCTATGTTGACCAATCACGTCTTGTTATGTGTACGCCAATAGTGTGCCTAATGGACTCTTGGAAATAAACCCACAAAAGACAGGAACAAGCTTGGGAATTTAGTTAACAGACTTAAAGTTGGCAAAACCTAATTAAGCAGAAGCTAATTCCGTTAACAGTTTCCAAAGTTAGCGAAGACGATAATGTGCTAAATAAATAAAAAATTGTTCCACTACTAACTTTTTGTGCAGTGACTCCCTTCCCATTATTCAAGGAGGGCATCTTGCCCTATCAACAGAGCCGAACGCCCTGCCTACCAAATCCCCCAACCCCCATGCAGCTAGCTCTGCCACTTCCAGGGAGTGGAGATTGTAACAGCTCAGCTCAGACAATAAACCAATACAAATACTCCGCCTATCTTCCACAACCAACCCCCTGCCCCAATGAGAACTGCTGCCACTAACATAGCACTCCGCTTCTCAAAACCAACTCAGAGCTACATGATCATACCAAACTACAGCCATGGGTATCACGTCGGCGCTATGTTGTTTCCATGACCCTGACATGATCATGGTCATATCATTCTGTATTCATGAGGCCAGAAATGTTACAACTGAAGCCATGCCAGTGTACACAGCCCTCACCATCACAGACAAACTGCAATGATGAACCACCACAACCTCGCTACAGATGTTTTGTGCTTCTCAAAACTCCATGATCGACAGCACTACCATACATAATAGAAAGCCCATTGCACTCTTAATTCGTATCTAAAGACCTCACTAGGACCTGGGAAAGATCCTCATTCTGGGTGATTTTTTTTTTACGCAATAGCGAGGTTATTGTCATTGAAATAAGAAAACACTGTCGTACCTTGTACATCTCCATTAACTGAGGTCTTGTTTTGGGGATGGCTGATGTTTGGTTTTGAGGCATCTTCTGTGATGATGGCACTCCCATCAGGGTCGGCGTAAAACAGGAGGAGAGGCTGGAAGTGACCTTTAATACACTTGATGACCACATCTTTCCACCTGGAACCAATCTACAGTGAAAAAAAGAAAAGCTAAGTCAGACATGTGATTGTATGATAGTGACAACTACCACCCCTTTTACGAGCTTCATTTGGAACAATCAATCTAAAATTTTAAAAAGGTTAAAAAAAATGGATTTCCTGTTGGACCTTCTCATGTTTGAGCAGATTCATTCAAGTGGAGTTTAGAAAGACAGGCAGACTGTGCACATAGTAAAGTGTTCAGGTCTCTCTTGTAAATGAGTCCTCGAGGCTCAATAGGATTTACCTGTCTAAATAAAGGTTGAATGAATGTTCCTGTAACTGTGTACTTTAAGAATAAACAAACAAAACCTATAACTAAACTTTAATTTTCAACACAACCACATTAGCGGCGCTGTGTGAGGAGCTCGTTTTACCGTAAAGACACCACGAAGGAGAACTGCAGGTGAACAGATGCTCGCCTGCTCCGTAATTAAGCAAATGACAGAGGAAGAGGAGGGATGAGGAAGTACGAAGGATGGAGGTGGAAAAAGAGCTAAAGAGGAACAAATGTAAATGAGAAGAAACTAGGCAAAAAGCCAATGCAGCAAGATTGTCTAAATTAAGGAAATTATGACAATGTGCGCACTTAAGGTTACAATAAACTATTAGTAACAGTTGCAATTTTAAAATTTCACATTTTTCTCATAAGTTAAAATTGACACATCAATTCTTCATGATTAGCCCCGTTTATTATATTCTTCTTTTTTTGTCCATAACATAAAAATGATAAAACGAGAACAACAAAAGTTCAGGGGTCACCCCTTTGTAATTTATTTTATGCAAAGATAATATTAAAAGCTGCGACAGAGCTACAGTGCAGCAGACACTGAGCAGCCAGTGTTTTGGGGAGTCGCAGAAATGTCGGATGGTTTTGATCCAGGAATGGGACTTGGCATGAGCCGAGTGCTGTAGCTCCTCCATCAAACTTGGGGGTGGGGGGGTTGCACATGCAGCACAAGCTGGTGATGAATGGAGGTGGAGCCAGCTGGCCACTCCACCACAGTCCCCGGGAAAATAGTGAAACAAAAAGCTTCTTTGCGTATACAAGCCATAGAAATGTATTAAAACCCAACAGAAGATCTGAGTAAGACTGTAGAGCTGGTACACATATACAAATTTAACTATTTCTTGCCGTTTTCTCACACAAAGACAGACAACATATTTAAATGCTTAAACACTGCACCTGTAAAACCAGAGAAAGAATCCATGAAATTATTTTTAAAGAGGAAACTGGACAGCTTGTATTATGCAAAAGGCATAATATATTTCCTGGAAATCTACAACTTCTTTGAGAAAAGATTAGATTATCATTTCATTTCATTTATTTCTTTATTTAAATTAGGACAATGCATATTAATCAACATGTCAGCAGTAAGCATCAATGTAAATATGCTGGAGTTAGCACAGTAGCTAATTTTCATCCGTTGTCCTAAGGCAGGTAAGAACAAGAAACATCCCACAAAACAAAAGAGCAGAGAATAATACAAACATCACCTATATAGAACATAACACAACATGAGATTACAATAAAGATATAATACCATAAGAAAATAGACAAAGTAATCTACACATGAGTGCACTTCTGGTTAGTTTTCAGCCAAAGTTTCAAAGAGTTTTTAAAGCTGGAGCAGGTACCGCAGTTCCTGATGAAAACTGGCAGTGTGTTCCACGACTGCGTGCCTCTGATGGACACCACCATTTGGCCATATTTAGTCCTGCACCGCTGTACATCACAATCTCCTCTTGTCAGTGCTCTTGTGTTTACTGTACTTGTTTTTTTACTAAAAATCTGATAGCTATCAAAATCCAAAATGTTGTACTTATTTATGATGTTACAATAATGATACTGTGGAAGCTTTTTGTCAAAAATGTTCAGTGTTTTCTTAAAAAGAGACTTTAGGGGCTTCATGATGACCTCTAAATTGTGAGACCATGTGGTATAACAATAGGCTATATGGCTGAAGATCATGGCATGCATGTAAGCCTTTGCTGATTCTGTTGTCAGAGAAGGTCTTATATGTTTGAAGTTTGCCAAATTAAGTTTAATTATATGTGAAATTCTCTTTACATGCTGCTTGAAATTTAGATTGCAATCAAAATGACTCCAAGCTATTTAAATTGTTCAACCACATCTAATGTCTCGCCATTGACTAACGCAGATGGTTGCTCGTTATCTGCTGGCAGCTGAGAGAAAAACATACAGACTGTTTTTTTAATGTTGAGATGTAGACAAGAGTCCTGGAACCAGTGAGACACCGGCATCATAGCACTAGCAAGCACAGCAGCAGCTTCATTTTTTGTTTTTCCATGAACATACAGTACAGTATCATCTGCATATAATTGCATTTTTACAGTTTTGCAAACATTTGGTAAATCATTAACATATAGGCTAAATAAGATTGGTCCCAGTATTTCGGAACATCTCTTCAACTGATGGGCAGTCCTAACATTAACCACCTCACCTCTTTCACTGTTGCATCATCAAAGAAGACCCATTTGGAGGATTTGGTGTGGTAGGCGAAGGCACAGTAGTGTTGGCTGGTGTAGCAGATCATCCCCACAAGCAGCAGCTCTGCCTTCTTGGCGCGTTCGTCTGTGACCCGGTAGAAGAGCTGTTTCCACAAGCACAGGTACAAAAGCACATTGCATCAAAGTTAAGACGCCTTCTGTGTGATTTATTTTATGAATTGAGGCAGCGAGGGGGGGTTGACACCAACTCATTCCTGACACGTCTTTGTGCTGCAAAACGAGGTAGTAACAGAGCCAAAACGGTCAATATGTGAAAAGGTAAGCTGGCGCCGCAACTCAATGTTATGAAGTGACAACATATGGTCGGTGCCACCACCCGATCACAGAATTAAACAACAGATTTATTACAGAGGGAAGATCAATGATGATGCACAGAAAATTTTCATTTTGTTTAAAAAAAACAACAAGAGTCACCCGCAATAGGATCGCTACACTGAGTTATGTCATGTTTTGAAAGCCATGAGGGAGGCAACTGTCAAACGTTTCATGCGTTGCGCTCCGTGTTTACACAGCGGCATTCTGCATCACACCCATTTTGGTTCCACTTTGCTCCCTTTTTGCTGAAAACTCACATCTGTGAGGGACGTGGCCAACTCCATCTGTAATTTATAAAAGGCAAGAGGCAGTGTAAAGATGGACTGGTCCAAGGGGGTCCTTAGTAAAATCTATACACTGCTCAGTTCATACCATGAGACCAGTTTGAACTCCCTTATACTGAAATGGGAAACGGACCTGGAGGAATCTAAAGTAGACTCAACCTGGAGAAAGCTCATTAAGAACATTCACTCATCTTTAATCTGTCTGAGACATGCTGCAATTCAATTCAAGGTATAGCACCGGCTGCACTGGTCCAAAGACAAGTTGTCCAAGATCAAAGCCGACCTGGACCCCGCATGTAATCATTGTAAACAAACTCCAGCTACTCTCCGGCACACATTCTGAACCTGTCCCAAACTGCAGACCTTTGTGCAATCTATTTTTGACACCTTCTCTGGGATATGTGGAAAAACTCTAGACCCATCCCCATTCATCTCACTGTTCGGGGTGGTGCCTGTGGATACGTCCTTCAGCAAGTACGAGAAGGATTTCATTGCTTTTGGCTCTCTCCTGGCCAGAATGGTTCTGTGCAATTAACTGGAAGGACCCACACCCCCCAGCCTATGTACACTGGATAAGAGAAGTGATGTATCATATTAATTTGGAACAAATCAAATATACCCTGAAGGGTTCTGTTACAAGATTTTGGGACACTTTGCAGCCTTTTATGTTGTATGTGGAAAACTTGTCAGTGCCTGTGTAATTTCTTTTAATTCATTTATGTATGTGTGACTGATCCGGTGTGGGAGTTTTTTTTTGTTTTGTGTTCTTTGTGTTTTATATGTTCAAAACGAAAAAATAATAAAAAGACTGATTTAAAAAAAAGATGGACTGGTCTGTGTGGCCATTTCACTGAACTGTTTTATGAAACAGCCCAGTGACACTGATAGCTATATTTATTTAGTCCGAGGTTTAAACTAGATTACAGTCAAACGGTAGACGTCACTGATTTGAATATTTGTGTAAATCTGTGCAGTTACAACAAACTGTTCCCAACTGTTTTATGAATGCAAACATTTACTTTTGTTTCACAAGTAGCACAAACTGTTTTTTTGTTGCTTCTTCGTGTCTCCCGAACACTGAAGCTCATGGCATTTCAAAGCAAATCAACAGGGTGAAGGATCCCTTTTAACACCCAGTAAAGTCACACAAAGTGCTCCCTGATGAATAAAAGCTTTTGTGTCGGACAGATACGAGTGAGGGTCTGACGAATTCTTCAGGCGGCACGCTTCGGAAGCGCTCTAGAGGGAGCTGTCAGATACATGGTTTAAAATGTTATGTAATGTGTGGACTGTGTCCTGATCTGAACTGTGATGGATTTTTTTTTCTCTCTTGTAAACTGCATCTACATGGCCAACAAGCTGCGGAGGGATAAATATTTAATAAACTGTGCAGCATTATAGCATTTGTTTTGGTGTAACTGTGCAGAAAGAGACAAACACATTATTCTTCCTTTGAATAAACTCTTCAACCCCATGTTCGCTTCAGAGGCATGCGCACACACACACACACAGAGGAAGATGAGGGGAGGGGATTTCTGATGAGTTGACCGAGGCCAGCCGGGGGTTTTTTGATCACTGGCATGGGCCAACAGGGCACTGGGCGTTAACTGCTTATGCAACAGCACAGACTTAACAGAGAAATAAATCCCCTCTTTATTTCCCACATATGTTCAATTGCAACCAAAATAAACTGACACTAAGACGGCCGGAAGAGAGACGGCAGCTTTAGGGAACAGTTGCGTAAACATGGGAGGGGGAAAAATATCCATTAATACACAGAGGATTTTAATTAAGTCTGATGTTCTGATAGCCTCCCTCCCCAAAGCCATTTTTTTATTTTGTTGGGGACTAAATTAAATGTAAATGATGATGACGGCTCACCGCAGAGAGGCTGAGATGAGGCCCCAGAGAGCGGATAACGTCCTCCGTGTGATCCGACTGATCGGAGTCCCACACAAAGCCGATGGTAACAATTTCCGGGCAGTTCATGAGGACTCGTCTGATCTTGATCTTCTGGCCGCAGTTGCTCTGAAAGATAAAGACAGGTGCATAAAAATGAGACAATAACTTAAGAATATTACAAAAAGAAAACACTTTATCCGAATAGACTGCAGATTAGACGAGTTGTAAAAGAAACATGGAAAAATCCACTTACGGGGCAGTTTCGAAGGTCTCCGATTGTACTTGCTACTTGTAACACTTCCCCAAAAGACTCTTCGCGCCGCTGATGGGTCTGCTGACTAAAAAATAAATTAAAAATGGAGGCACAAAGAGAATATTACAAATTTGTAACACAAGCTTAGCTATGACCTTGTGAGAACACAAAGAAACATTACAAGGTGAAAGGAAGCGTCTCTTACCAAAGTGCTGTGGTGGAGACGTAATGTACGAGTTCGGTGAAGGGCAGCGGGTCGGAGGAAGCTCCACAGCTACGGCACACAGACTGCAGAGGGAACGCTCGGTGAACAAAACGACCACAAACTAACAGAAGCAAAGCATTTACAAACCATGCCAGAGACTCATTTTCATATGAAATTACCCTTTTTTCCCATAAAAGTGAGATCCAAGCATCAATGGGGATTTGAATTTATCTATCGTCACTCAGATCTGGATCATTTTTGTCAAATAGTGTGGCCTGAAGTTAAAGTGGATCAAAGCCCCTCTGGTGGGGGTGGTCTTGGGGGTCCTCCCCCAGAAAATTTAGAATAAAGTAGATGCCATTTCCTGCATTCTGGAGTATTTTGATGGGTTGTTAAACATCTACGTTTACCTCCATAAGTAAACACTTGATTTCACAACTATTTTAGAAAACAACAAGAAGCAGCCTGACCAACAGCTCTCCTTGTGTGAATAGAGCATGCTCCACTTCTCTCACGCATCCTAACAAACCACCTCCACCCTCGGTTGAACACTGTGAGCATACAGACGTGCTAGCTAAGATGCTACAGACATAGTGCTCTGCTTCTCTCACGCATGCCCTCCCTCCAACTGCCCCCACACTCCCCTGCAGCTCCTGCAAGTAAGGGGTGTTTCACTTCAGGACAAATTGAGATAGCTGGTTGGTCAGTTGCTAACAAGGGTACTGGAATGATTGACAGGTGGCGCTGAGGATCTGACTCGTGCAAAAAAAAAAAAAAAAAAGATTTTGTTGGCCCGTTTGTCATAATTTATTCCATATTTCGTTCAAATTATTTCAACATTTTGGTGAATCTAAGATTTGAGAACTGAGTTTCCTTACAAAATCGTTATGATGTTTTCTTAATTTTTCAGGGGTGCGAGCTAAAAGTTAGGGGTGCTTGAGCACCCCCAAAAATAGGCTAAAATTGCTACTGCTTCAGACTTTCTGAAGGATTAAAGTTCATCCTTGGACATTGGCTGTTTTCCACTTGCTTTCAATCAATTACCCAAACTTACTTTTTGTGAAGTTACTTAATTTTGACTCTAATCATTCGTATAAATAAAGAAGGTCTCTAAACTGAGGGGGTGAACCAGTAATGAGTTGACACATAAACTTTGAGACGTTTTAGGTGCTGTGGATATCAAGGCAGAGGTTAATCGTTTTTTGATGTATTGCAATGCAGACGTTCTGAGTCAATTTAAAAATGAAAAACTCTGATTATTTAATGTTAATGACTGTTGATGAGTGCAAAAGGCGGGACTCTAAAGTGTTGTGCCCGAACTGTTTACTGTGCGCACACAACAAAAGGAGGCTGACTGAAACAGGAAAAGGTTCCTTTAGCATTGAAAACTACTTTGGAAGTACTTTGGCTTCTATGAAGTAAAAGGAAACGATGATAATAGCCACTGTATACATACAAGTCCAGCACACCTTTCCACCCGGAGGAGGAAGTAAAAATATATAAAATTAACAGCTGGTGGTAGATAGCAGCTGCCACTGCTAACAGGGGAGTACCTAACAAACAACATTAAAGTTCCCACATACTGTAATTTGGAAAAACTAAAGTTGACTACAAGGGACAGGGCAACTTTTAAGGGTTTGCATGTTAATTTAATGTTTGAAAACCAGGATTTGAGCTCCAAGTTTTGCACTTTGGAGTCACAATATCATCACAGTCATTTCCACTCTAATCAACATGCTGAAGAAAGCTCTAACACGTAACCCATGTTGGAAATCCATTGCCTCATGTCACTGTACTCAACATACTGTCTCCTGTTTCTGTTCAGTCAGTTGCCATAATCTTGTTTGGATGAAAACTGTTTTATACTGGAGTGTAGAGCAAAACATTTTGTTCCTTTTAGGTTTGAGAGTCCATGCTCAGGATTTTGTATGACGTCTGAAAGACTCTGAATCGTTAATAAACTGAATTGTTATGTATCCAATGATTCCCACCCTTTTTTAATACAAGCTGTCACAAAAAAACAAAACAAATGCATTCCACCAAAGATAAATACACATAAATACATAAGATAACAGAGTTTGACAGCCTGAAAACCTGGACTAAAGTAGCAGATTAACTGATTGATGATGCATCTCTAAGGTCCCGTGTCAGGTCTTTGGTACATTTTTCTTTTTACTTCTTGACTTTCAGATCCTGTTCATGTGCTTTAGTCCTACACTTTTCTATATTTTTAAACCCAAACTGCACAATATGTTGTCACGTTCAGGTAGGACAGCACAGAAAATTAGACAATAGGAACCATAATCCAAATAATTACTTTACCTTTATAAACCCTCAGAAATACTTCAGAACTATTGATTAGGACCACGTTAAGTCTGGATCCTTGGAGGTAAAGTATAAAGAAATTAGGGGTGGTTCAGAACTTCAAACCAGAGCTGTATGAGGTTCTGCTGCGGCAGCAACGAGGAATCGCTCCTCTATGTTCCACAAGGGGTGACCTCCGATCAAATTTGATGGATTGGGCATTTATTATCTCAGCCGTTGATTCATGTACCCATCTGTCTGTGTCGATGTGTGTGTAGGACTCTAAACCCTAAACCTGACTGTCCAGATCTTTCCAGAGAGACACACGTAATCCACGTGAACGTCTCCTGAGACAGATTAGGCTGAAAATACGCACAGCGTCCTAAATATTAAAAACACTGACAATCGTTTATTTAAACTTTCAGCCGACCTGCTCGTAAAGTGCCATAGCAAACTTCTGATGCGTGATGCAGGACTGGGAGGTGCAGGCGTCGGTCTCCTCAGACACTACGTGCAAGTGGATCCTCTCCAGGATATTTTCCTGTGAAAGAAATAAAGACAGAGGTGAGCTGCAGGACTGAAGGTTTCACGCTCCATAGGGTTTACTCAACAACAAACGAGAGTCAAACATTAAGAGCGAGTTGTACTTGCTGTGTGAACTCCTGTATTAAATATTAAAGCTAAAAGGTAGAATAACAAAGGCTACGAGCTAAACTCACACATCGTTAATGACACTGTTGAACTTTGTGCCCTTTTGCTTAATAACATTAAACAAAATGAAACTAGCAAAAGGAATAAAGGAATGCACATCACCCGCCACCTTGTATTTCATATAGTATCAACTTGCGTGACCTGTTCTGTGCACTAGAGCCTTGCTCATCTCTGGGATCTGCTTCAAAATGCAAAAAAGTAACAAATTGATCTGAAACATTCAGGGACTGTGTAGCAGCTCTGCGCTAAAGTTACAGTTCAGTCGAGGAACAATAGCTGAAAAGGAGCTTGTGGGGATGAAAAGAAGACACAAATAACGGTAATAACTTGAGAAATTGCATTTCCTGTAAAAATGCAGTGTGAATGCTTATTGCTGAAGACCTTACTGGAAAAACTGCTTAAACTAGCTAAAAACATGCTGAAATGTAGCTGAAACGGAAGGACAAGCATAAGTTAGCAGAGGAAAGCAGAAAGAACACATATTTGCTGAATTTGGTTTAAATACACATAAATGAGCACAGAAATTAGTAAATTACCTAAAAAGAAGAAATTAGCTATTAAAAAAACTGAAAAGTAGCTGAAAAGGCAGAAAGAAGCTTAAAATAGCAAAAGAAAGTGAAGAGAGCACAATTGTGTCCAATTAGGCGTAAAAAGGCAGAAATGAGCACACACACAAAAAAACTGCTGAATAGTAGCTAAAAACGCAAAAAGAAGCTTAAATTACGAGAAGGGAGTGAAGAGAGCACAGTTTTGCTGAATTAGGCTGAAAAAAGTTGAAATGAGTGCCAAAAATTTAGATTTAACTGAAAATGCTCAATGTAACATAACACCTGCTAAATAGTAGCTGAAATAGCTGAAACTAGCAGAAATAAGCTGAAAGGAGCATAACAAGCTGAAATTAACCGAATTAAGTTAGAAGAAGCAGATAAATGTTGTAGTTATCGGAAATAATCTGAAAGGAGCACAAAACAGCTGAAAGGAGCTGAAAAAAGTGTAAATTTGCACAAGGAAGCTGAACCAGAACAAAACGTGAAAGGAGCAGTAAAAAGTTGTAAACAGATCTAAAAATATGAAGGATGTAAAATGAGCTCAATTCATTTTCTGAGGAAAAAAATGGCCGAAAAAGCTAAATATTTCAAAAAGCTACAGTTGCACCAATACCAAAAGTCATAGCAGGATTGTCCTGAAACAGCTGAACGTTTTGATATAGGATTTGTTGAAATAGCTAAAAAATTGTGGAACGAGAACAATGGGGAAAAAATGCGGAAGTAAAATGGATCACATAGTGTGAATGCTTCATAAACATTCACACAACAAATCTTATTAATTCCGTGTGCTCAGAAAGGTCTTCTGGTAAGAAATAAATCACTACGCCCAAAGCAGTTTCAATCACTTTAGTTTGCATCACATAACTGACCTTAATAAGAAATGCTGTTTAGTTGAAGGAGTTACAAGAAGCTCTGACTGCAGCAGTCAAGTTTAAAAATACTGTCCAGAACGTTGTAACTCTGCAGGTTTCAGGTATAAATGTGTTCAGCTGAGATGTAAGAACCACTGCCTGCTGGACTCACGTCATTTCTTTACAGTCGTAAAACAAAAATACAGCCCAGAGGAGAAACAGTGACAACGCAGCAGAAATACAAACCCCAAGTTCTGCTCAGAGAGCTCATGAACAAAAAATAAAACGAAACAGGATGCAAGTACAGGGTTTATACAAGCTGGGCCTTTTAGTCTTTAGCTGAACTAACAGCTGAATGTAAACCTGAAGTTAAACAGAGAATGCTGATTCAGCAACTGAATTTTTATTGATCTGATTTGTGATGGAAAAAAAAATAAATACAACAAAACTAATGGGCTTAGCCTTAAACTATGATACTACTACCTTTGTCAGAACAGGTGTTCAAGAGATAAATGTAAGATTGTATGAAAATATGACTTTAAATGTATTTAACCTCGAGCTGCACAACAAGCCTCCCTCGTTAGTTTATCCTGATTGTGTAAGATTGCTGCTAATAAAGGGAAATCCACTAAAAGCAGTCAGGTGGTTGTCTCGTGCTCGTTAATACGTTGTACAAATCATCAAGGGGACAAACTAAACCTGCCATTCCATTGTTTCCAAAAAGATAAAATAGGACTCTGAATGAAAAGCAGCAATACGGAGGGACAAAACATGTCACGGCCCTGATGGAGCGCCGGCGAACAATAAAACAAGACTATCTTGGCAACGCAGTGTCAGGTTGTGGACGTCCACCCCTCTCCCTCCCTCATCTCTCTCTCTCCCTCCCAGAGATTCCCGAGTGGGGAGCTCCCACCCGTCACCTGGGTAACTTGTTTTTCTGACCCTTGTCTGACAACAGATTGATTTTTCGTTGCAGGTTGCTCAGTTGCCTGAATCAGAATAGAGTTCGTGTCGTCCTGCTCTACAAAACGTTGTGCTGATGTGTGTTGTTAGGCGTTAGCGTGCCGGTGACACACAGTCCAGGCTCAGACTTCAGAACTCACTCTTGTACAAAGGTGTCACCCTGGCTTGTGCCTGAGAAGAACGTCTACACAGCAACCTATGTGCAGTAACACAAAGGAACGTAGCCTCTCGCCATGGTGGAGGAAGCAGTCAAGATCAGTGGTTCCCAACACTGGTCCTTGAGGAACGCCATCCCGCATAGTTTAGTTGCTTCTCTGCTCCAGCACACCTCATTTGAATGAATGGGTGATCAACAGGCTTCTGCAGAACTTGAGGAAGTAATTAAATTTTTGAATCAGGTGTGTTGGAGCAGAGAAACAACTAAAATATGCAGGATGGTGTTCCGCAGGGACCAGTGTTGGGAACCACTGGACTAGATAATAAGAAGCCACTGTAAGAATTTTAACTAATTAAGGCTAAACAGTAGATTGCCAGTAGCTGTGGTGGCCAACTCAAACTGGTCTGACCGTTTCAAGAGTTTCATTAAACGCTATCCCATGATTCATGAGATATTTTGCGAACAGACGGAAACACAAAGACATGCACGCACGCACACAAACAGGCAATAACATTCTTGCTTGCCTTGCCTTTCTGCAGCAGGTAAAATATTTTTGAGCCATCCAATGAACATTCAATACCACTGATGCCCACATCCAGTTTAGAGTTGATGGTTAAAATGCTAAAAACACTAAAACAGCTGTGAGCAGCAGCGTGACGGGACAGAGTTAGTCCCACAAAGACCAAACAAGACATTTGTATCCAAACTAAAATGGCAGCACAATAAGCAGTAGCTTATATAACCTGTCATGATGATATTTATGCCGCAATGGAAGGGGGGGGGGGGGGGGACAGAAGTTCCTTCAGTGACCTCGCCAAACAGTTTGTTGCAACATATTACCCTCGCAGCTTTACAGAGTTGCACACGAGCGTACGCACATATCTCTCTCAAGTTGCCACGGGAACTTACAAAGCACTCGGCGGCATCGTCCATGTAGCCCAGCTGGAAGCGCTGCTCGTCCTCAAAGGTCTTTGCCAAGGCTTGACGCAGGTCGTCAGAAGGCAGGGCGCGCTCTTGACTCTGCTGGAACTTGGTGAAAAGGCTCTGAGGAAAAGAGCAAAATGTGTTGCGTTTAAACCCTGCCTGGATGCGAGAGCCGATGAGCAACACGTCCACAACAACAACAAGCAGAGGGGACGCTCCTCTGAACTGAGTGTGAAGTCAGGATTCACTCTGTTGGCTTCTATTCTGGTCTTTTTTTTCCCTTTTCCTCCATACGTTTTTACAACCCAACTACTTCAGCATTCTTTGTGTTATTTTAGCCATTTATGTATCAAAACATTCAACTCATTCAGGAGATGAATGCTATGACTTTTGGTTTTTGTAACATTTATTTTTTAACATAATTAAAGTAATTTACTAATTTTTCCCCTCCATGGAAATGTTGAGATCTCTTCAATTCCTTCCAAACGTTCTCTTTGAAATCTGATTCAGAATACCTACTTCATGTTTTGTGGATGTTTTGCTACTTTTAAATTTTAGCTAGCCCATTGCCTCTTTTGAATTCTAGCTAGCCTTTTGCTACTTTTAGTTTAAAGTTAGACTATTTCTATCTTTAGCTTATAGCTAGCTTTTTGCTTCTTTCAGAGCCTAGCTAGCCTTTTGCTACCTTTAGTTTCAAGCTAGACTATTGCTACGTTTAGCTTATAGATAGCTTTTTTGCTTCTTTCAGTATCTAGCTAGCCTTTTGCTACTTTTAGCGTCCAGCTAGTTTTTTGCTACTTTTAGCTTAAAGCTAGCCTTTTTCTACATTTAGCTTATAGCTAGCCTTTTGCTTCTTTCAGAATCTAGCTAGCCGTTTGCTACTTTAGTTTCCAGTAAGGCTAATGCTACTTTAAAGTCTAGCTAGCCTTTGCTACTTTTAGCTTCCAGCTAGTATTTTGCTACTTTTAGTTAAAGCTAGCCGTTTGCTAATTTTAGTTTCAGGTTAGACTTTTGCTATTTTCAGCTTCTAGACAGCTTTTTGCTATTCCATTTATAGCTAGCCTTTTGCTTTTTTCAGAGTCCAACTAGCCTTTAGCTACTTTTAGTTAAAGCTAGTGTTTTGCAACTTTTGACTTCTAACTAGCTTCTTGCTACTTACATTTAAAGCCAGCCTTTTGAGACATTTAGATAATGCTAGCCTTTTGCTACTTTTAGTTTATAGCTAGCCTTTTGCTACTCTTAGTTACAGCTAGCCTTTTGCTAAGTTTAGTTTCAGGTTAGACTTTTGCTACCTTCAGCTTCTAGCTAGCTTTTTGCTACTTCTGTTTATAGCTAAACTTTTGCTTTTTTCAGAGTCTAACTAGCCTTTTGCTACTTTTAGTTAAAGCTACTGTTTTGCTACTTTTGGCTTCTAACTAGCTTTTTGCCAATTACATTTATAGCTAGCCCTTTGCTTGTTTCAAAGTCTAACTAGCCTTTTGCTACTTTTAGTTAATGCTAGGCTTTTGCTACTTTTAGTTAATACTAGCCTTTTGCTTATTTTAGTTAATGCTAGCCTTTTTCTACTTTTAGCAAGCATTTTGCTTATTTTAGCTTCGAGCTAGTGTTATGCATTTTCACAAAAAATGTAAGTTCTCTAGCTTTCATGAAATATGCAGCTGATAACGTCGTACCTTTAATGCACAGAAAATGCAGGATTCACCGAGGCAGAAATGCCCAGGTAGCTGTCTCAAGCTGCGTCTGAAGATGTCCAGATGCCACAAGACCTACAAAAAACAGGGGGGGGGGGGGGGAGATTCATCATGAATCTTACCACTGAAGTACTTCATACCAGCTAAACTTGGTGATCAGTATAAAATTAAAATAATATAAATAGGTGTAAAGAAGGAAAAAAAAATCTTATGTAAGAGAACATTGGGGCTTCAGTTACACATGGCATTCAGTCTCCAAGGTCATGAGCTTCAAGTCTTTTTTCTTCCCACGATAACTCATCCAAAGGCAATGATCATCTGGAACCAGCTCATCAGACGTCTCACCCTCTGAGTCACAGTCCTCTATGAGACTGACCTACAACTGTGACTGCACCAGTGAATCATCTCACCAGCCAGTACTCCACTGGTCAGAAGCAACCTTTCAGTACATCCATAAACCGCCAGGAAACTCGGCAGATTTAGACGGTGACAGAGCTCAGAGTTTTCTTAAATAAACGATGGTCTGAGGGTAGAACATGTTGTCCAGTCCCGTGTGGAGAACAGGAACAATAAAATAAAGGATCTGACAGAGAACAGCAGTTCGTCTGAGTGACCTTACTTCTTTTTTCTGCACTCTTAAAGAAAAACAAAAAGCCTAAAGCAACGTTTGCTCATCCTAAAAGGCTAACGCACAGAAACAGCTCCTTGTGAACATGTGAAAACATTACGGAGAAAAGCTTTTGATTCTTTAAGGGATTTTCAACCATCTGTCCCAACAGCTTCCACTTCTGTCAGATTCTTGGGTTGACTACATTCTGCGGTCAATCCAGGGAGTTTTTAAAGCTTGCTCATCTTCACGTGGATATTTGTTGATTTTTAAGTGTGTGTAGGAACAATATCCCGACCTTTCTTTTGCACCCTTCAGCTCATCTGTTCTCAGATGTGGTGTGATGTTTGGGGTTACAGCTGGCTGCTTTTTACCAGAGTCCATTCCTCTCTTCACCACTAAAATGTAGATTTTCAGTACTGGCCAAAACAGCAGCTGGAGATCTGTTCTTCTTAGTAAACTCCTCACACTTTTATACTAAACACCTTCCTATTATCGTGTGAACGTTTATGAAGCGTTCACAATACTGTGAAACATTTTACTTACGTACGTTTTTTGGCATCTTTCTCATTCCACAGTTTTTGTACCATTTCAACAAATCGCATGAAAACATTCAGCTCGTTCAGGACAATCCTGCTATGACTTCTGTTGGTGCAACTTTAGCTTTTTGAAACATTTAGCTTTTTCTGCTATTTTTTTCCCCCTCATATAAACGAATTGAGCTCATTTTACATCCTTCAAATCTTTATGTTTACAACCTTTTACACCTTTCACATTTTGTTCTGGTTCAGCTTCTTTCAGCTTCCTTGTGCAAATTTTAACTTTTTTTTTTTTTTAGCTCGTTTTGGCTAATTTCTGCTGTTTTGAGTTCCTTTCAGCTTCCTTCTGCTAACTACAACATTTTTGTGCTTCTAACTTCTTTATGCTAATTTCAGATTGTTGTGCTCCTTTCACTTTATTTATGAAGTTTCAGCTTTTTCTGCTATTTCAGCTACTATTTAACCGTTTTATGCTGATTTTAGCCTTTTTTTTTGCCAATTCCTCGTCTTTTGCACACATTGCAACTTTTTTTTAGCCTACCAGCAAAAATGTGCTTTCTCCACTTCCTTCGTGTAATTTAAGCTTCTTTCGGCTTTTTAGCTACTTTTCAGCGTTTTTCGTTGCTAATTTCAGCTTTTTTCAGATAATTTACACTTTTTGTGCTAATTTCTGCTTCTTTCAGCAAATGTGCTCGTTCTGCTTTCTTCTGCTAATTTAAGCTTGTTCTACCTTTTCAGCATTTATTAGCCAATTTCAGCTGTTTTCAGATAAATTCACGTTTTCGTGATAATTTCTGCCACTTTCAGCCAAATTAACTTCTTTCAGACAATTTCAGCTTGTTATGCTCCTTTCAGCTATTTTCAGCTTTTTCTACTATTTCAGCTACAATTTAGCTGTTTTGTGCTAAATTTAGTCTTTTCAGCTAATTCAACATTTTTTTTAACTCATTTCAGTTCCTTCCACTTCCTTCTGGTAGTTTAAGCTCCTTTCAGCCATTTCAGCTACTTTTCAGCAATATTTTTTGATAAATTCAGCTTTTTTTTTAGCTATTTTTTGTGATCATTTCTGCTTATTTAAATCTAATTTAGCAAATATGTGTTCTTCCATTTCAACACTTTTTTTTAAAGCTAATTTCAGCTGTTTTTCAGCAAGTTCTTTAGCAATAAGAAATCACTACATTTTTGCAGAAAATGCACTTTCTCTAGTTCTCATTATATCATTTAGAAAAGTCAGGGAGTAGCATTTATATACCTTCCCATGCAGCAGAGACGCAGAAATGATTTGATATTATGTTGTGTTCAATATTTTTCGACGTAGCAGAACTGCTGAATAAAATAGTTCAGACCCAGTTAAACTTTAAAACGCCTTTCGAAATCGTACTTTAAGCAGTTTGCTCTGAAAGTGTCGGTTTTCCAGACCTTAACTCAACTCTCATTACTCCTACCAATAGATGATTTTTTAACCAAACAGCTTACCTTATATGTATAGTCTTTTCTTGATTTATAAAGAGTTTTTAGAGAAGTACACTGCTGTTAAGAGGAGGCAGAGGCAGATGAGAGCTGAAGAGTCAAGAGGTTTACCTAACAATGCAGCCATTGCTTTTCAGGTGACTGGAATTGGCTGATTTTCAGCTTGACCAGCTTCACTGGTAGCTCAGACACTCAAAATTCTTTTTTATTTTATTTCTGGTCAGTAAACACAACATAGACAATTGCAAACGACTGACAGCTTAACTCAGCTCTGAAATGGAAGTTTTACTGAAAGAGGAAAACATGAGGAGACATAAAGCAAAGTGTGCAAAAATAGCCACAGGAGGAGCTGCGTGAGTAAATAAATGCACTGCGTGCCTTCTGCTCAGGAACACCGTCTACAGTTCTCCTTTACAGAGAAAGCTGCTTAAACACGTGATTATTTAAGTCCAGCTGTTTACTCCTTGAGACCTATACTTTGAGAGCAAAACGAAAATGTAAATAACGATTTACAAATGTAAGTAATACTGTTAGAAAACGTGCTTTTCCAACAAACCTCATCTGCTGAGCTCAACATATTGAATTAACCGCACTGAACTGTAAAACGTGTGTTTGTTAAAGCTAACTTTGTAAAATATGCTAATCAAATATATAGTGACTGCGGCACGGTGGTGCAGTTGTTGGAGCTGTTGCCTCTCAGCGAGAAGGTCAACAGTTCAAATCCCAGCCTGGGGCCTTTCTGGGTGGAGTCTGCATGTTCTCTCTGTGCATGCGTGGGTTTCCTCCCACAGACTAAAAACATGCATGTTCGGCTGATTGGTAACTCTAAATTGTCCCTAGGTGTGAGTGAATGGTTGTTTGTCCCCATTTGTGTCCCTGTGATGGACTGGAGACCCCCTGCCTCTCACACACTGATGGCTGGACATGGACACCAGTGACCCCCATGACCCGAAAAGGAAGGAGTGGGTAAAAGATAATGAATGGATGGATGGAAATATAGTGACTTTTTCTCCTCATTGGCTCACCGTCAAATAAAAGATCCAAATAAATCAGATTTTTTTTTCCTTTCCGTTATTTTAAACATTTATGGAAAACTGGAAATTCAACTACATGCCGTTCAACCCAATCTAATTTCAATTCTAACTCAACTGGATGAAAACAAGAATCATTTCACCTCGTGCTTCTCTAATGACTGAACAAGTCACGGCTTGAATGGTTTGAGAATTTAATCACATTGAAAGCAAAAGATTTAATCGATCAGAAACTAAACTTTATCCTCCCTAAACGTTACAGTAAAGACGTTGTGATCAATCCTAAATTATTTTAACTTTATGTTTTTGATACATTACATCAAAGTTTTGATAATTGTGTAATGTTGATGAAGCATTCACACTATTGTGATCCATTTTTCTTCCTTATGTTTTTCAGCTTGATTATTGTCCCTCAACTGTTCTTGTATTTCAACATATCATATCAAAACTTCAGCTGTTTCAGGACAACCCTGCTATGAATTTTGGTATTGTGCACTTTTAGCTTTTTGAAATATTTAGGTTTTTCTGCCATTTTTTTCCTCTCATAGAAATTTAACTGAGCTCATTTTACATCCTTCAAATCTTTAGATGTGTTTACAACCTTTTACTGCTCCTTTCACATTCTGTTCTGCTTCAGCTTCTTTCAGCTTCTTTGTACAAATTTTAACTTGTTTTCAGATACTTTCGGTTTTGTGCTCCTTTTAGATTATTTCTGCTAATTACTACATTTTCATGCTTCTTCTAACTTTTTTCTGCTATTTTCAGTTTGTTACACTCCTTTCAGATTATTTATTTTTTTATAATTTTCAGCTTTTCTGCCTTTCAGCTACTATTTAGCTGTTTTATGCCAATTTAAAGGTTTTCAGCCAATTCCACGTTTTTTGCCACTCATTTAAACATTTTCAGCCTAATTCGGCAAAAAAGTGCTCTCTACTGGCACTTCCTTCTTGCAATGTCAGCTTCTTTCTGCCTTTTCAGCTGCTCTTCAGCTGTTTTTTGCCAACTTCAGCTTTTTTTCAGGTAATTTCCACTTATTGTGCTCATTTCTGCTTCTTTCAGCAATAGTGTTCTGTTTTCTTCTGCAAATTTAAGCTTGTTCCATTGGTTCAGCAACTTTTTTTTTTTTTTTAGCTCATTTCAGCCGTTTTCAGAAAAATTCCAAGTTTTTTGTGGTAATTTCTGCTCCTTTCAGCCTTATGCTCCTTTCAGCTTATTCCTGCTAGTTTCGGCTTTTTCTGATATTTCAGCTACTATTTAGTTATTTTGTACTAAATCTAACTTTTTCAACTAATTCAACATTTTTGTAGCTCATTTCAGCTCCTTCTGCTAGTTTAAGCTTCTTTCTGCCTTTTCAGCAGTTTTTTTTTGGTTGCATATTTCCTCTTTTTAGCTAATTTCCTAATTTTGTGCACATTTCTGCTTATTTAAACTCAATTTAGCAAGTATGTGTTCTTTCTGCTTTCTTCTACTAACTTAGACTTGTACTTCTTTTTCAGCTACATTTCTGCATGTTTTTAGCAAATTTCAGCTGTTTTCAGCAAGTTCTTCAGCAATAAGCATTCACACTGCATTTTTGCAGGAAATGCAATTTCTCTAGTTTAGTGCAATCTGATGGTGTCCACAAGCAAGACCTACCTGTACAGCGCTGTTGAGGAAGCAGCTGTTCTGGCCGGGTTCGTTCAGCAGCCCTTTGGTCGGGGCCAGAGACATCATGCTCCCCGGCTGGAACGACTTCCCCAGGTTGCCCCCCGGCTTTTTGAAGAACTTGTACCATGCCATTGCTTATTGGAGCTGACCTCGAGCCAGGCGGGATGAACGGAGGAGAAGGAAGGTTGATGGAATGGGCAGATCCCTTGGCCCCAAAAGTCCGAGGCTAAGTTATTCCACAAGCTGCAGCAGCAGCCCTGCAACACATAGGCTTCTGGTCCGAGTCCGCAGCTCGTGGTGAAGCGTGTTTTTTTCTTACTTCCTCTACAAAGTTTTAAATCTTCTGAATAATATTTATAAAAAAAAAAAAAGAAAAATCAAAATAAATGCACCTCAAAAATAACAATCACAGTTCAGGTTTTCGTTTAGGCAATCTTTGGACGTTAATCCGTCTTTTCCTTCGATGAAGATGCGCTTTTGGTATGCTGAAAAACGACCCGATCATCTTGTAAAGTCGCCGGTCGAAGCTCTACAGCTGCTTCCAGAGAGGAGTGTAGACCTCCGTCAGCAGGGTCAGCATGGTCCTGATGCGCTTGCTGACGTTCAGCAGCAGTAACTCGTCGCTCTCAGAAGTTCGCCCGCCGTGCGGCTGAATCCAGGTAAGACGTCAAAACACGACCGGCCTGCGTTAAAAGAAAAGCAACGTCAGATTGAGAGGATTGAAAAGGCCAAGATGGAGCTGGTATCACACAAAGCAGTGCATCTACTTCACTTTTCTACTTTTCCATCCACATTTCTTGTTTTCATAAAACGGATTCTGAAATTACAGCGAACTTCCGTCTCGGACTCGGTGCGTCCACATTTAGGTCAAAGTGAACTTTACACACAAATGTCTACACATTAACCTTTACGGACCGCCTTTGCACTGGACGTGTGTTGAGCTAAACTTTGCTCTAATTTCAGGTGCAACATGTAAACAATGTTCACGTCATATTCCTGAAATGATAAAGACAGGATAAATATAAGCAGATGAATACGCCGATTTATTTTTAGACTCATAATAAAGATAATTTTAATAAAAGATGAAGCATCTCATGTCAAAGTTCTACATCTTTCATTATTGACCACAAGCCAGAAAAACTTAAGATACTACTTAGGATTCAATGGCATGCTTACAATTCCAACTTCTAGATAATATATTTTTTACTAATTAATTCAACTATGCTTCATCTTGCTACGAGTCGTTAAAACATATGAAATCCCAAATAACAATAAAGTTAAACCATTTAAACAAATCAACGGAATCAATCTGTTTTAAAAGTTGCACAAATAATTTAGACAAAAGTCTATTGTTGGCAACTTAACTTAATTGGGGACTGCCTAGTAAGGCAGCACCTATTATTATCCACCTGAGAAGGTTTCTTAACTTTATATCTTACTCTTCCGTCAACTTTAATGTGGCCCGAACCGCAATGTGTGCCCCCACAAATGTTATATCAAAACGACCGGCTCGGCGTCATATGTGCTATTGTGTTGGCGTTCTGAGTTACCATAGCGACGTAATTTGCAAACAAATAAGCCATTTTTATTAATAATTTTTCATAGATTCTAGTTGCAAATCAAATATTCAAGATGAGCTAAAAAGGAAATTTATTGTAAATCAACCGTTTTAGTGATATTAAGCAGAAATTTGGTGTGGTGGCAACTGAGAGCAATGCCCAATAAATAATAGATTAAAAAAAAATCAAGATGGCCACCAAAGCTCCATTTAAAAGGCTTCAACTCAGCTATTTTTACACATACAGAGCTGAAATTTGGTGTGGTTATCGCTGACAACCTTCCCCGTCACATAGTGAATCCAAATCAAAAATCCAAGATGGCCACCACAGCTTAAAAGAAAACATGACTAACTTTTTGATATTTTGCCATTTTAATACAGTACTGTCAAGTCAAAATTTTAAAACGGCCGCCACGTGGGAGTCCCCATCAAAGTTTCTCCAGGAACTTTCTAGTTTTTTATGTAGTTACCTGCTCGAGTCTATCACCTTAACTTTTGTAGATTTAACAAAATCCAAACAAGAGGCCGGATTGAACTTATTGGTAGCCTAAGCGTTTTTTTTTTTTTTTGTTATTTCAAATACTTTTTCTTTATTACTCAGTCTGGCACTAACATTCTTTTTAAAATTCAACTATAAACTGGTCTGATGAGCCTAAAAAATAAAAATAAAAGCATGTCCAATACCAGAAAATCATATTGCCATTAAATATTTCTACTAAAATCTGTGCAAGTCCGTTTTCTTTAAGTATAACAGAAAAGATGTGGGAAACTGTTTTGCAATGTTGTGATGAAACAAAGAAACTGTCACTTGACCTCTTTATTTTTTATTTTTTTTACCTCAAAACATACGTAATGGCTGCGTACACTCCTTTTCAGAGTCAGAGTCAGAGTCAGAGTTTCTTTATTGTCATTCGCACCTCATGTGGTACATGTGGTGGAGCGAAATTATGTACACAGGGTCCCAGTTACATCCAACAATAAAATGTCTAAGAAAAACAGTAATAACATCCAAGATATGAACCAAGAAAAACATCAACCAAACATACACCAAGCACCCATAACATAAAACATTGAACATCAGCACAAACATGAACATGAGTCTGTGAGCAGATGTGCACGCATGAACACATAAACATGAAACAGATCAGCAGCAACATGAAACAGATCAGCAGCAACATGATATGTTCTTTCACAGTGATTATTCTAGTTAGAGATTCATGAGTCTAACAGCCTCAGGGTAGAAGCTGTTCCTCAGTCTAGTGGTTCTACACTTAATGCTCCTTAACCTCCTTCCTTTCAGTCTCTCAAGGAGCTACATTCTGGTTTGTAAAGAAAATGCACTGCAATTATAACTTTATTTGTTTAAATATAAAGATTAAGTTCAAGTTCAATAATCTTTATTATCCCTAAGGGGCAATTAGTTTCACAGTCAGTAGACGCACAACAGACCAGACATTGAGATGTTAATACAACAGTACAGAAACATCACTGTTCGCTGAGAAGCCTGATCTCTACAGGGATGAATGAGTTGTTCAGTCTGTTCGTTCTACATCTGAACAGCAGATACCTGCGTCCAGATGGAAGCAACATGAACTCACCATGGAGTGGTGATCAGGATCTGCCAGAATGTGCCTCACCTTGTGTAGGTCAGTGGGGTATATCATGAGGGTATATTTTGAAGATTTTCAGTTACAAGGAAAGAAAATCCTCTAAACTATTTGCTGTGTTGACATTTTTTTTCTTTAACTGTAAACATATTGATATAACCAGAAATAAAAACTAGAAAGTTCCTGGAGAAACTTTGCAGGGGGCGTGCCACATGGCGGCCATTTTAAAAGTTTGATTCGACAGTACTGTATTATGTGTAGACGTTTGCTCTCAGCTACCACCAAAACAAATTTCAGCTTAAAACGGCAAAATATCATTGTTAGTCTTTTTTTTTTTTTCTTTTAAGATGTGGTGGCCATCTTGGATATTTGATTTGCAACCAACTTTATGAAAAATTATTTTTAAAAAATGGCTCATTTGTTTGCAAATTGCGTCACCATGGTATCTTGAAACGGCAATACAAAAGCACACATCGCGATGCCGAGCCGGTTGTTTTGATATAACATTTTTTGGGGGGTACACATTCCGGTTCAGACTGCATTAAAGTTGATGGAAATGTAAAGTTAAGAAACCCTTGACAGATGGATTACTGCATTACTGCTGCATTACTAGGCAGTCCCAATAAAAGTTTACCATTTTGAATGCATTTAATTATGCATTAAAGAAAATAAAAATTGGTCCAAATCAGCATCAGCAAGTCAGATTCTTATAAAAACTATCAGTCAGAATTGGCCTAAAGATTTATGATCAGTGTATTTAAGTTGTTTTTATAAAATACTGATTCAACTAATGGAGCACCAATGACAGCAAAACAAATATAACAATTGCTTGTTTTTTAGTCCAAAACACCTTCAAAACATCCTGAAAGATACGCCATCAAGGTGTTTAGTGTAAGAAAGACAAGATTTTGTAGAAAACAAGTGAAACGTTCTATTGTTACAGAAGTTTCAGTCTAAACCTGTTGAACAAAACTAGTTATGGAATTCCAAGAATCCAAAAAAAAAAAAAAAAAAGGTGTCGCGGTGAAGGTTTACAGCAGCCAACGACACGAGCTAAAGTTTAGCATGTATAGTGCAGAATCAGCACCGTCGCATGTTGCAACTAAACATGCAAAAGGTTCGGCTTCTTTCCTGCACGACGGAGCAGCATTCCACTGAGGGCTCAGAGTTGCTCAATTTGGTTTCAGGGCTGAGCTGTTCGTAGAAATCCGTACGAACCACCTGTACAGTGCGACGATGATGTCACGAGCTGCTGGTATCGGTGTTTCAAAAGTCATCCACTATCAGGACAAGCAATTACAGGTAGGACGCTTGCAATTGCTCCTATAAACTCCTATAAACCCCCGTTCTCGGCGTCTTTTAATCAAGTCAGCATCCCGGCTGTGATGTCAGCCGTGCTCTAATCCCCGCCGGTGAAAACAATCATCACGCTTCCATTAATCAACATCAGGCTCGGGATGTGAAGAGCAGCACATGTTTTGTGTGGTGACAACGCTGACAGCAGCAGGAGTATATACGGCTCTGCCTTTTTGTGGCTGGACGTTTTATTTCATTACAGCGGTCCGGTGGAAAAACTGCTAACCTCAGTTACATTAGATCATCCTTTTGTCTCAGCAGAACCGACGCTCGCTGACTCCAGAGTCAGTCAGCCATGTTTTCATTCATCTAGAGCACTGCGTTTGATTTTAAAAGCACGGGTTCTGGAAATACGCCAAGATGTGATCCAGGTTTGGACAAATGGCTGATACAACAACTGGGAACAACAACAGCTAGAGAAATTGCATTTCCTGCTAAAATGCAGTGTGAATGCGTGTTGCTGAAGAACTTGCTGAAAAACAGCTGAAATTAGCTAAAAAAAATACATTCTGTAATGTAGCTGAAATGGAAAAACAAAAAAAAAAATTAGCAGAAGAAAGCAGAAAGAACACATATTTGCTAAATTAGGTTTAAATAAACAGAAATAAGCA